AAGGGATAATTATCATGAATCTTAGTATTTCACAAAATATTCCTTAGATGAATCTCTCATCACTGCTTAACATTTATGATAACAATGAAATCCAGACAGTTGACTGAAGTTCAATTTCTCAAGTGCATTTTAAGTTCAACTCATTTTTGATGACATGGTACCTTCATCACAAATATGGCCTTTGTATACATCAAACTCACATAATAAGGAAGCATACTTCTAGTGTTTTTTTAAGAGAAAATCTAAGAAATTTTTTTAAAAACTTGTTTTGTCTTTAGGCTTTTTTTAATTTCTTTAAAATCTTCTGAGGAATGTTAATGTGTCAAGTACAGGCATTATAAAATATTACAAAATGTCCTAGCTCATTAACTTTACCTTGAAAATAGTGAGCACTAATAATATTAGCTAAAATTAAATTTTTATATAGAAATGCTTTATATGAATTAATTTCATTTGAAGCTCTGACTTGGGTGGGGCAAAGGCAATATATGTAACCTAAACATTTGTACCCCCATAATATGCTGAAATAAAAAAAAAGGCTAGGCACAGTGGTTGACGCCTGTAATCCTAACACTCTGAGAGGCTGAGGTAGGTGGATTGTTTGAGCTCAGGAGTTCAAGACCAGACTGAGCAAGAGCGAGACCTCGTCTCTACTAAAAATAGAAACAAATTAGCTGGACAACTAAAAATATATAGAAAAAATTAGCCAAGCATGGTGGCACCTGCCTGTAGTCCCAGCTACTTGGGAGGCTGAGGCAGAAGGATTGTTTGAGCTCAGGAGTTTGAGGTTGCTGTGAGCTAGGCTGATGCCTCGGCACTCTAGCCTAGGCAACAGAGTGAGATTCTGTCTCAAAAAAAAAAAAACCTTACAAAAAAGAAGACTTCTAAAAATAAAGTCTATTAATAAAAAGAAAAAAATGAATTAATCTCCATGACAATTCTATGGAGTCAAATATTATTTTTTCCACTTTAGTATTGAGCAAAGTGAAGCTTGGAATTATTAAGCAATCCATGTCTTGCCTGTTCCTCCTAGTTTTCCTAAGTACCACCTGGAAGTCTAGGGTCTGAAGAAACTTATCCTACACTAGAAGAGGTCAAAGATCACAGACACCAAGAAAAGAAGAGGAAGGAGACAAGAGGGAAGTGACAAGATTTCCAGTGGAAATGAAAGATGAGACCAAAATGCTTTTAGCTGGAATGGCCTGGAATGAGAACTGGATGCGTAAATGCATTCAGCTGTTAAATCTGAACTTGTACTGTTGCTTTTTAAAGCATGGTCCTATTGGACCTGTGCTCTTTTGGCTTCCCAGCAAGAGGCTGAAACTTGTTCAATGAAGTCCAGTTTTTGCTGGACCTGCCTATGGCCTCAGGCCCAGAGTTTATTAAGAGCTGCCTCTAAAAGTCAAAGATTCCCCTTTGCAAAAGCCAGAATAAGCTAGAAACATTAGAAGAGAAGATGTTTCATCTTCTCCTTTTAATTATTTGTTAAGATCTGGCTTGTTCCAGGCAAAATTAAGGGGGAACCCTGGCACCAGCTTCAGGAAAGAGGTGATAAACTTTCCCTAAGCTAATAGTCAAGATGATAGTATTAGGTTTGGGCTATGAGTTCCTGGCTGTCAATAAGAGAAGGCAAAGATGAAAAGGAAGGAAGAATGGGCAGTAAGGAATAGCCCATCACCCCTACAGCACATCTCATTTACTTTCCAGACTCCCCAAGGAGCTAGAAGCATTGATTAGACACCACCACAAATATTTATTGCAGCTTCCTCTTTCTTTGCCTAAAACAGGCTTTACGCTCACTCAGGACCAGGGGAAATGAAGGCACAGTAACATTAAATTATGTAAGTGCTCAGAGTGAGAGAAAAAAAATAGTCTTGCCTTCCTGATTCCCTGGAAAATCAAGCCTGATTGGGGAGTTTTCTGGAAGAGGTTTCTCAGTCATTTCATCAATAAGTCTCAGCATCCTGTGTTCACTCTCAGTCTGTTTTATATCATGGTTGCTATTGTTTTGTTTTGTTTTGTTTTCTGAATGCAGCTTTACCTTTTAGGATGGCCTAAGGCAGAGCAGGAACAATTGTAAGGAGTGTGTCTTTACTTTTAAAGCAGCCCCTCCTCTCCCACCGCCTACCCAGGGAGACCTGGCCCTCCAAGGGAGTGTGTCTTCTGGGGTGCTCCATGCCTTAGATCTGTCTACCACCACGGAAATTGGTCCTGGCCTTCTACCTTACAACTCTGCTAAGTAACTATGTAATTGTTTTAGATCTTCGCTATCCTTAAACCCCCAGCTCATTTGACTAAACAGATTGGAGCCACCTAAATACCTCTGTTTTGACCCTCAATTCCTCCCTCCCTTCCTTCCTTCCAACTTTCCTTCCTCCCTTTCTTCCATCCTTCCATTCTTCCATCTTTCTTTCCCTACTGTCTCTGAGAAGACCCATTCATTTTTCTGGTCCAGGATAATAGTCATTCTCTAGACTCTTCCATCTTCTCTGGGTAGATGGTCTACAAACGGTCTCCCTTAGCTATTGAAATTCCCTCCTCTTCTGGATTCTTCTCTGCAGGCAGTAATCGACAACTCTTTCCAGGTTGAGCATAGTACACAGCACATTGTATATGCTTGATTAAGAGCATATACAATGCATATATGGCAGATTGAAAAATATATATGTGGCCCTTTCCTCAAGCAGGGTGGCCAAGTTTCACAATCTCAGTAGCACCACTGTGTTTTATTCCGTGTGAATGGCATCCCTTTGAGGTACATTGGAATGGTACTGCCCTCAAATATCTTTTCTATAGCAATCATCACGGGATTCACATAAGCTTTTTAAAAAATATGGCCCTATAAAGAATGAGTGTCTTCTGAAAACCAGTTTAAAAAAGCAAGTCCATTTCCATCTAAGAAGTTTTTGAAGCAGGAATTAGGCACACCCTGAAAGTTTTAATTCCAGATTGAGGGAGAGAGGAAAATAAAATCCAAGTACAGATAACTTATCTTTACTAGAGCTCTAAGACTTTTAAATCTATAGTAGAACACGTTTGGAGTAATAGCAAAATATTTATAAAACGTCTGTGTTGGTATATTGGTTTTAAAAGAAAAAATTCCAAAACCAAATGATCCAGACACTAATCCAACAGGTTTGATTTGGGAGTTCTTTGCCAATACTGGACTTCGTGCACAGATAAATCAAATAAACTCACTGAACAAATCTTTAGAATTGCCGTTTTCAGAGCTTCAGGAATCACGAAGGAATCTAGGTGTGTAAACACACAGGATCTTAGCCTAAGCCCCTTGCCAAAACATATAAATACGTCTAGACACTCCTTCTACATGTACAAGAACCCAACATAAATCTAACTTTACAAAATGCCTTCTTTAGATACATTCTCCTAAACATGTTCCACAGACTGAGTAATTCCATTTGATGAACAAGACTACACTGAAATTTTAATCAAATGAAAGTCTAATGTAAAAAAAAGAAAGTAGTAGGGATTTAAGGTTGCACACCTACACTTCTATAGAAAAAAATGATTTTCTTATTCTTGAGCAGTATAGTTACTCTGAGCTAAAGGCAGGTCTTGTTTAAGCAGAGAACTGAATCTTCTTGCCAATTGTTTGCCAACCTAGTGAGTTGTACCAAACACACCAGTGAAAGCCAAATGTGTTGTCTTTCACTGAATTGGATCTAAGTGATTGCCACTTCATTTAATCCAGTCTTGAAAGAAACTGTGGAGCTGCTCACACGTCTAAATCAGTGGAGCCCATTCTACTAAGTGAAGTATCACAAGAATGGAAAAACAAGCACCACATGTACTCACCATCAAATTGGTATTAACTGATCAACACTTAAGTGCACATATAGTAGTAACATTCATCAGGTGTCAGGCAGAGGGCGGAGGAGAGGATGGGTATATTCACACCTAATGGGTGTGGTGTGCACCATCTGGGGGGGAAGGACATGCTTGAAGCTATGACTTGGGTGGGGCAAAGGAAATATATGTAACCTAAACATTTGTACCCCCATAATATGCTGAAATTTTAAAAAATAATAAAAATCGATCAGTGACAACTTAAGGAGGACCAGCCTCTCTCTCCCTTGCTGAAAATTTAATGACTTACTATTGCCTCTGTGTTAAAGTTCAAAATCATTTGTCTGAAAAAAATTGGTGATTTAAGTGAATTTGTGCACACGCACACACACATACACACACACTGCACTCCATCTCTGTTCCTTTGTTCTCTTTGCTTGCAATAGCTTTCCTTTCCTCATTCACCTGGCTAATTTCTATCTTTCAATTGAGACTCAGCCTGGATGGCACCTCTTTGGAGATATCTTCGCCGACCCTCCAAGTCTGGCTTAGTTATCCATTCTTTGTGTTCTTGCAGGGCTCTGCCCCCTTATAACCTAAAATCAAGTTTCTTAATTAGTTCTATTTCTTCCCAATAAGCTATAAATTCTTTGAGCACAAAAACCTCAAATCTGGCTAAGTAAGAAAATTTGTTGACTAAACAAACACCGGCTGTTAACTTATCCTTCTCCTGACCATATTTATATGTTATTTTACTATTGTCTACTTGAATAGGTTAAAAGAACAAATAATTGAATGATACTAAAGAAATGAGGATTTTCATATAAACTATATTATAGATAGCCATTCTGCTTATATTTCAATTCATATGATTCTCAATTTCCTTTAGGTTTGTGCCTTAAGGATTTTAAAGAACTGGAAAAATCTACTAAATCAACGTAATTCAGTGCAAACTATATTCAGGTTATAACCTGAATTTAGAAAGGGGTGTTGCTAATGTGGTAAGTTTTGATGAGAGTTCTCAGGTTTTGATCAAAGTAATGGACATATACAGGATAGATGGGATATAGACAGATAGAAGAAAATAAAAACAAAAACTGGCATGACTTCCTTGTGTAGAAACCTGCCAGCAGTAAAGAGGGACTTGGTGAGAAGTCTACTCTGCTAAGAACCAACTCCGGGCAAGTCCTTACCCTCTGGCCTGGTGAACCATCACGTCCTGGTGAACCAACGCCTCCTGGGATACCCTACATAGAACAAGGACAAAAAAGAGCCAACTTCACAGGAATGAGTCACCCTCTCACCCAGCTTCCCTGAAATAGATCAAGCCCTCCAAACAAACCTAATAGCATTACGATGAACCCTTTGCAACAGCTTAGTATTCAGACATTGAAGTTACTCATGGCCAAGGAATGTCCCCCATGAGAGCTCCCCCTGGGGAGCATCAGTGTGGCTCTCAGAGGCGTTTAAGGTAAATGAATATAGTTAAACAGTCTTTAATATGGAAAACACTTATTGGCAAGATCACAGTTGACGTTAAAAGCTACAGCCTTTTCCCCATTGGCAAATCTCTACATCTGAGAGCAATAGATGAAAAAAATAAAAATAATACCTGTGGACCAGGGAGGCCAGTATCTCCTTTCTCTCCTTTGTCACCTGGCATTCCCTGAATATCCAAAAGTACAGAGTTAAGTTCATGTAGTTAAACTCTTAGCCTTTTCTTTTCCCTCTGACTGTTTGAACGTTTTCAACATTAAATTGCTTTCACGTTAACATCCAAACAGAGCATATTTCACTTCTCACATATGCTATGCCATTTATGTAAACATTCCTATAGAGCTAAATGTTTATATACAGAATAGTTTCAACATGGAATATACAATCTGATATGGCTAAGCCGATACTGTAAATATATGGAAGGGAAGAGTTGAACATTTCAATATTATTTATAGTTCAGATTTTTAAAATCTCATATCTATATAGACTTGTTTTGTTTTGGCTGGAAAAATATAAAAATGGAATATAAGAATGGAAAAGAAAACACAGAACATGGCCGGTAGTAAGACCTCAACAAATGTTTAGCATTAATAGTAGTAATTACACAAATGGACATGTTAATACTTTCTAAAATATGAAAATAACATTGCAGGGCAAAACTTCTCAGCTAGGGAGACACAATCACATGTGCAAAGAGATTGCCAAAACGTGCTTGAAAGGATCTGTTTGCTTCAAATATTAATTAGAAAGATTGGTTTTATTCTTAAATCTAGATCCCTATAATAAGATTAATGAAGATCAATGAATGGAATTAAATTTGTTCTTAATGGTACAAAATAGCTTTTCAAAGAAATACAGCTATATAAAGTACAACATCAGAAACCTAAAACTCTCACTCAATGGACTGCACTTTGATGTCAGTTGAGATAAGGATCATGAATAAATGGCTTTCATTAATCTACATCAACAATTACTACAAATAAATAATGAATAACTTAAATTTGTAGAACATTTGTTACTTTCTAGATGCTATCACATCCATTAAGGATTTAGTCAAACAAGAAAAAGGGTTACACATGTTAAGCCCTGTTTTTCTTTGATAGACACACTGCTTGTGAATGTACCTACTTCCTGAGCACGTACCTGTTTGTTAAAAGATCTTCGCCATTGAGCAAAAAATTGGCTAAGGGCACAGCTAATGAATGGACTCTCAATCATTACAAAGGGACTGAGGCTCATTATTAAAGCACAGCAGACAAAAGATCATTCTTTGTAACCTCATGGAAAATTCATGATAAAACCCATCTGAATGTCTGCATACAACTTACAGGCATTCCTTGAATGGACAGACCACTTGGTCCTTGAGGTCCAGGGGGCCCCTGAGGTCCTGGAGGGCCTGTTTCACCCCTAGGGCCATCTGGTCCCTGGAAGGCAAGAGAGAAAAGTTACCCTAGAATTAGTTAGACCCCCTGATATCTAGAAGATATTTCTACTTATGGAACTCATAATTTATTTCCTTATATAACTTTTCCTAGGATGTGAAATAGTCATTGGATAACAAGACATCATCCCCCAATGGTTCACCTCCCAGGCAACACGTCATCAGGAAAACATAAGAGTAAACACACAGGGATTGCTGCAACATTTTTTTTGCATCCATAAATAAGAATGCTGTGCCAAATATGTGAGTAACTAGATCCCCCACATTCAGTAACAACTTCAAAAGGCATAACTGCTTTAAGACCACCCTCCTAGTCTGCGGAGGTTCACAATGTCTGGGTGAACTACATTCTCTCCATCTTCACTATTGTCAACTATCTACCTCAGGGGCGTTCCTCTCATTTATTGAGGACTTTGCACTTAGCCTCTATTTTCTTCCTCACCTTGATTTTGTCATCACACTATGCCTCTTCAATGTCCACCGAATGACCCTAGGCCTAATATTACTTGATTTCCTTTCTTTTCAGGATCTGACAGCAATTTCACTGCAGTGAACCTTGCCTCTATAGTTTGGAACTTCTGGTTCAGCTAAAACTACACCACATCTGTAATCTTGGACTCAGAAAATCTACTTATCTTCAACCTCTTCTTTCCCATCTCATTCTGCAACTCCAACTAAAGCTGTTCTTTAATTAAATTAAGACCTCTGCTACCTGGGTGTTGTCTTAAATGTGAGATTGGTGAATCTATGATTTGGGTCAAAGAAGAAAGAGCATAATGGGGTAAAGTGTGGGTAAACAGTGAGTGAAGACTGAGACCTGTTAAGAGTTAGGTGCATGGGAATAACCACATCGAAATGTCCAGCAGTCTGGTAGTCAGGCCAAGGTCTGAGCTGGGATGGATTTTGGAATAGTTGATGACATGTTTATGGGTGAGGTTATTAGGGAGAATGTGTTGATGGAGTGAAAGAGGAAATAGAGTGAGATGAAAATCAAGTAGAAGGGAGAGGAAGAGAAGCCTGGGACAGAATCTGAAATTAAAAAGCCTAAGAATTAGGAGAATGCAACTGGGTGGTGTAGAGATGTAGAAAAGGCCACAGGAGGAGAAAATTTCAAATACAGAAGTGTCTAATTATGTCAAATTTTGTAAAGATCTCAAATAAGAATTAAACCAAAGCTCATGGAACTGGTAATAGCAAGTAATTCGTGACTTTAATGAGAGAAACTTCATAGGATTTCTAGGGGAACAGAAATCACATGTGGTTGAGAATAATCTGGGAGTCGAGGATGTGGGAGCCCTGAATGACAACTATTCTTACAAGAAGCATGTGTAAGAGGAAGGGAGAGAGAGCTAGAGTTTTAAAAATATAAAAGGAGGAGATGAGGCAATTTATAAATATTACTAAGTATTTATAATAGTTTAATAATATATCATTTTAATAGATAATTGTTTAATAATATAGTATTGAGGAATTGAAACTAGAGTAGAAGGGCAGAAAGTAGGTGATCCCATTTGATTCTGTAATATATGAGACAAAGATCACTAAGAGAGACCAGCAGTAAGATTGCTTTGTGCTTCCAAATTCTTATTATTTGTGGGGCAACAAAATAAAAAATGTTTAATAATACATATCAGGGCTTTCCATATCAAAAGTATTAAACTATACTTTTACAGTTCCTACACTGTCCACACTGGTGGACCTGTGAGCATCCTTTGTTAAATAAGACATTTTTTCCAAAAACTACTACATACTTGTATCTGTGATTCTCAAAATCATTACACAGAAATCACCGTATCAGTAGCAGTCTTGCGGGAATGGATAATTGGAGGAAATGGGTGAATCATGGGATTACTAAACATCTATGAACTAATTTATCATCATGATTAGAACCACCATCCATTAAGGATTTAGTTAAATGAAAATAAAAGGGCTCTAGCTGTTAAGCCCTGTTTTTCTTTGATGGACACACTGTTACGAGAATGTCAGAAAACAATGGAATCGTGCAGATAGAAGTGTTGGGACAGGGAGCCAGAATGTACAGGAGCTCCAGGGCCCTGCCCTTGGATAAAACTGAGGAAGCCCCAGGACATCCTTATTTGAGAAGAGGCCTGCAACCACTGGCCTTTCTTAAAGCACCATAAGAGATGGACCCAAGTAAGATACATCAAGTCTATCTCAGAAAACAAAATAAAAAAACAAAAAAGGAGACATGTTATGGTCTGAGTTTTGAATTGGCTAGTACCTGATTAATTATCTTTAGCCCTCTTTCATTTACTTCTTTTTTATCCCCATATGTTCCCCTACCTTGTTTCATCTGTTTCCAACTTTTTAGCAAAATGTCTCGTGTATTTTTTTCTCCACGAATAAATGCTATGCAAATTTAATAAGTAAGCCTATTGCAGCAGTAAGTCAAAGAGATCACGTGGAGCAACATGGTGAAAATGAGATGGAAAGTCAAATTACAAAGCATCTTGAAGGCCATGCCAAAGAGGGTGAGTTGTATTCTTAAGGCAATAGCACATGTCTGCAGGTTTTTAATATGATCCACTATAAACTTTAAGAAAATTAATTTGGGGGCAGACGTGAAGAATCAATTGAAAAATCAAGCCATGGGGGATAGGAGACTAATTATAAGATTTGCCAAAAGCCAGATAGAAGATGGTGAGGCCTGAACTCAATTAGTGGCTGGGCTTGTGCCAGTCCTTAGGATGCTTTTGTGCAAAGTAGAAAAATGTATGTTTTGACATGGCTTGGTCCTATTGGCTGGTGACTTTATACAGTGTACAACCTGAGCCACCACACTTGGTGACCATGGGCAGTGAGAATAGAAAATGGACTGCATGTTTGATCACACATAGTGGCAAGGGAGGAAGAAGAGTCCAAAGCCTGAGAAATTATCTGGAAGGGAAAGATGAACAAGAGAGAGAACTACTTTGGAGACTAAAGCACTCAGAACATTGACACTCTTATTTCTGACCCAAAAACCTTTCTTTTCACCGAGTTAGTAAATATTCTTTTTGAATAAAAAGCATAGTCTTTAAAAATAAGGGAAATGGGTTAGACATAACTTTCATAAAAATATAAGGAGCTTTAAATGGGAAGGGTAAATTAAGTCATACTTAACTCCAAAATGACGGCTAGTTTGAGAGGGAGAGCGTGCGTGCAAGCGCGTATGTTACCTTTGGGCCCGGTTCACCTTGTTGGCCTTTTGGTCCTCGGAGTCCTGGACCACCCTGGCAAATAGATGTTAAGTATTAGCTCAAAGACAAGTCTAAAAATAGTATATTTCATTCATTTTTCTTAGTAATATGAATTATGTTATTATTATTTTATATCAAGGCCAACACATGTAATGTAATGGTAACATTCAACATAATCTTTAACTGGAAATTTGCTGCCCAACCCCAGCCCTTTCTATGGACAACTTTCTATGCCAAATCCTTTTAAATCTTGAAAAACTTGTAGAATTTATTTATTTAGTGATTATAGAAGACTACTGTTACTAATGTATGCAAAGAATAAAATACACTGTTAATCTAAAATTAGGTATGGTTATGCCATAATTTTGAGATGACTCAATTAAAGTGTAAAAAACACACAAAAGTAGCAACGATTTAATATTCTCTATTTACACAGAAAAAAAGTCAATTAGTTTAGTGTTTCTGAAACTTCTGTCATCTGCATTTCCTCTCAAGATTTTTGCCATATTAATGCACTATCTACACTATTATTTAATAGCAGTTTTCTTTATATAGATACCTATTTACATACAGTATAAATATGTGTATGTATTCTTTGTATATGTTTATATGTGTCTAAATGTATATATCTATACTCTCTGAATATTTCAATGGACTCACTATTTCACTTCAATTTATTTTAAAAGCAAATATAGCATTACAGTAAATGGAAAAATGTATCACTTGCTAAAACTATAAGGTAACATTAAAAATAAATATACTATAAGTGATTTTATTAAATTTAGCTGGATTTTGTTCCTGTTGAAGTCTGTGAACCAAGCATTTGCTCTTTGACAAAAAGGGAGATGGACAAGTACCAGCAGGGCCATGTGGGCACCAGACAGAATTTCCCTTTCACCTAAGCAGAAGGATTGAAAGATCACTGAAAACAGAATAACTTTCTGTCTGTGTGATTCCAATTTATTTCATGCTATGTCCAGGATTACTGAAAATGATTTTGTATACCATCCACAGAACACTTATGTCACTTGGGAAAATACTGGATCTAGTGATCTTAAGAGTTTCTCCCAGCCTATTTTTTAAAAAATCATTTAAATGTACTCCCTCCTCACTATCAGTTGGTTGCTCATTTTCCAGATTTTAAAAATACAATTATAAAATTTCATTTTATGTAATGTGCACATGTGTTTACAGAAAATACTGTCTATAATATTTGGTATTATTTGATGTGTACAGTTATGCGATATCACATTTTTACACAGTTCTGAGTTTTTTAACTTAATAAGCCTTAGAGATTTTTTAATTTTATTACATACAGATCTAACTCATTTTTCTTAACATTTGCGTAGTTGTCTTAACCTTAGATATAAATCAGTTTGTTTAATCATTCTTCTATTATTGGATAATTTGGTGGTTTTTTCCTCACGAGCTTTTGCTATATAAATAATGCTTTAATTAACATCTTTACATATCCTTTAAGTAAAAATGTTACAATTTCTCAGAAGATACCAAGAAGTAGAATTATAAGTGAAATTTGACAAATATGCAGATATATTATCAAATTCCATTCCAAAATAGCTGTGCCAGTTTATATATCCATCAACAGTTTGAGAATACCTGTTTCCCTAAATTTTAATCAACACTGAATATAGTCAAACTACATTCTTACCAACCTCACTGGTAAAACATAATATCTTACTATTGTTTTAACTTTCATTTCCCTGAAAACTATTATAATTGTACATCTTTTCATAACTTTTGTTTATCTGCATTTTATCCTCACTATGACTACCTATTAATACACTTTACCCAGTTTTCCATTGGGTTACATGTCTTTTTTTCTTTTTTTTTTTGAGACAGAGTCTCACTGTCTTGCCTGGGCTAGAGTGCCGTGGCGTCATCTTAGCTCACAGCAACCTCAAACTCCTGGGCTCAAGCGATCCTCCTGCCTCAGCCTCCCAAGTAGCTGGGACTACAGGCATACGCCACCATGCCCGGCTAGTTTTTTGTATATATTTTTAGTTGTCCAATTAATTTCTTTCTATTTTTAGTAGAGACGGGGTCTTGCTCTTGCTCAGGCTGGTTTCGAACTCCTGAGCTCAAACAATCCGCCCGCCTCGGCCTCCCAGAGAGCTAGGATTACAGGCGTGAGCCACTGCGCCCGGCCCGTCTTTTTTTCTTTAATGTGTAGCAATTCTTCATATATAGTCATGCATCACTCAACAATGGAGATGCAGTCTGAGAAATGTATTGTTACGCAGTTTTGTCACTGTGCAAACATCACAGAGTGTACTTACACAAACTTAGATGTTATATATATATGTATTTTTTTATTTATACATATTTCTTTAATATGGAAAACCAAACATCCCAGCACCATTACTGAATATCAATCATTTCCCCTACATGATCTGCAATGCCAATATCAAGTGTCATATATCAGATTTCTATATATGCTCCATTATAATCTTATGGAACAACCATTGTATACATGGTCCATTGTTGACTGAAACATTGTTATGCAGTGCATGACTGTATTTGAATATTATACCTTTAACTGTTATATATAATAAATACATATATATGTCATATATGTGGCAAATATTTTTTTCCAATGTGTCAGACATTGATGGCTGGCTACATAAGAGCCTTTTTGACCCCTTTCTCTCTTTTATGCCTGATACTATAAAGGCCAAGAAAAGACAGATATTTGCTTTCCCAGATTTTCTTTGCAACCAGGAATGGTCATGTTAACCAGTTTTGGCCAATTGGATCAAGAAGCAACAAGCCTAAAGAAAAAGCAATGTGGGCAGCTGGAGCAAGCTCAGGTCCTTGATGAAGATCTCAAGAAGCCTCAATTGGTCTTCAGACCATCTACCTCTAAAGCTTTTGTTGAGCAAACAATAAATGCCATTGTTCTAATAACTTACTCCACCATGTTAGCCAAATTTTCTGTTCCTTGCAGCCTAATGCATCCCAGTTAACATACTCAGTCTGTCACAACTCTTTAATTTTATTTGTGTGTCTTAAATGGTTGGTTTCCAACTGAAGATTTTATGCAAATATGACTGTTTATCTCACAGATATATATGCTAGAAGCATCAAGTCTAAAAGTCAGGGACCATTTTACACTTCTAACTTACTTTCCACCTTATCCCTGACCCTCATCACTGAGTATATAACAAGAATTCAGCAAATATTTGAGAATGAAAACATCCATCTTTTTAATAAGAAAGGGTTAATCTAGGCAAAGAGAATACGGTTCTTCCACCCATGGCTTCCTGCAGATCTTTACAGTTTTTATTGGCACATCACACTACTATGTAAATTCTTGAATGAGAAAATAATCAAAGCTATGTTCAAACACCAGACAGGATTTATTACATATTGCTTGGGATACTATTTTTAATTAGTTTATTATACTATATTTAGAATATAAAATTTCAATATCTGAAAGTTTTGAAATATTTGAAAATTTGAATTGCTTTTTTTCTCATTTTACATCTTTGTTTCCCTCAGAGCTCAGCCCTTCTGTTTCACTTCTCTGCTGCTTTTTCTCATTAGAAAGTTTGATGCTTAGATCATAAATAAATATTGTATGACTTGTTCTAGCAGTATTGCAGATGAAAAAACTTGAAAACCCTCCAGCTATGAATGTTTATTTTTGCAGGCTAAAATAAAATAAACATTATTGTAATTAAGAACTGAATCCTTAAGTACCAAGGATAAAGAAGAAATTAAAAAAAAAAAAAACAAAACATTGTATACTCATGCACTGAGACTGCCCTCAGGGAGGATGGGAAAGATGGTTGAGGCTTGCTGCAAAGCTTGTATTTTAGAGCCCACACAAAGCATTGTAACATGAATTTGGGCCTATGATAAGTGATGAAAGGGTTGAATATGAAGCATTCTTTAAAACTGAAGAACTTGAATGGCTACACTCTAAATGAGCTCACTATTAGGTGGATGTTCATCCACTAGGTGGATGAACAAAATGTTCTTTAGGTATGGGTACAGTAGATAATTTCTCCCCTGAGCAATACTACCTAGGAACTGATTCTCATATAATCTGGGGACCAGAATTTTCACTACCCATGAGGATCAAAACAAAATTCCAGTCAAATCTTTAAAGTGGTTTTTAGTTGATTGTACACCCAAGAGCTTAGCAGAGCAGACATAGACATTCTCTGAAGGAATAAAGTTCAAACACAAGATCAAAATATTCCCAAAGAAAAAGTTTCAAATAATGTAAACTAATACACACTCACACACACACACACACACACACACACACACACACACACACTAAAAAAATGTGGAGACAAGTTACCATGAATAAAATCAGCAGAAAAACAAATGGTAGAATCAGAACCACATACATTGCAAATTTTGGAAATATCAAATAAAAATATAAGCTATATTTAACATATTTAGAGAAAAATTGTTTTGAAAGTATGACAAAGAAAAGATGATACAAATTACCAGGAAGATTTAAAAAGGTTAACTATTAATAGATCAGCTATAAAGTATAGTTTTCAAACTAGTGGAGGGGAACAGAAAAGAATGAAAATAAAAGCAAAAAGTGAAAACAAAAGTAAATAAATAAAATTTCAACAAAGCATGATATACACACGTGGGCACACACACACACAGACATATACACATACAGAACAAATAAAAAAGCAAAAACTAAGGAATTAAGAAAAAACTAGAAAGCAAAACTTAAGGCTGTGGATGTAAATCCAAATAGGTCAATTATCATAAACAACAGAATGGACTAACCTACAAAAAGAAAAACTGTAAAAACAGATTAAGAGCAAAATCCAGGCCTATGCTATTTAAAGAGAAACTTCTAAAATACAGACATGGAAATGTTGCAAATAATTGGATGAAAAATATATATATATACCAGAAAAGGAATCCAAAATACAAATACTGAAACTATATTAATATTAGACAAATCAGACTTGAGGAAAAAAGTATTACTGAAGTTAAATGGTTCGGTCCACAATGATGCTCATGGCAAGTCAATAAGAAGATTACTGCTCAAAATTTTTGGACATTTTAACATAGTCTTAGGATATATAATGCAGAATTATGAAGAGACTTTGACAAATTGACAAACGGAGTGGAAGATTTTAAACTCTGTCTCTCAGTAATATATACTATTATACATAATAGCATCACCACCCTAAATTGTAGTTTTTATAATCTTTTCTAGGTTTGAAATGTTTCATAATTAAACATGAATTTATTTAAAATGTTGCAAAAATGTGTATATTTTTAATTTGGCAAAGAAAACAAGGGAAATAAAACAGTCTGTGATTAACACAGGTCAAGTCAGCTCTACCTCCAAAACCTATTCAAGTAGACCTTTGTGAGCATGCTCAGAACCCAGTCCCTAATTATTGCCTTCTGCTGGGTTTGAAGGCTTATTCCTGAAAATACATGCAGACTTTCTCTGAGGCCATCAGTGACATATACATATATGTGTGGTGAACAAACTTTGGCCATAGGTCAGTGAACCTCTAATATTCTGAAAGAAAAGCATCTAGTCCTTTTCATGTCTTAGTGCACCTAATCATTCTTGATGCCTACGCTGCTATGTCAGAGATTCTGCATTTTTAACAAGTATTCCCGGTGATTTTGATATCAGCAACACTTTGATAAACCACAGGATAGCATATAATATTGCTTTTTATTATTCTGGAGCCTGAAGGAGAATATGGAACACAGTTAAAAATAAATCTGTTTTCAATTCCCAGATTAAACTAAACACATCACTTTACATTGAATTAAAGTTTTATAATGCACATAGTACTTAAAGCATTAAGTACTATCTTAAAGCATTCAATATTATCTCGTGTATTCCTCACAATACCAGTAAAAGAGGTGGGTACTATTTTATACATGAGGAAATGGAAGTTCACAGTGGTTCAATGACTCACCTAGTCTTAATATTTAAATTTAATGCTTCTACTATTCATTGCTCCACACCTGCTTCTTTGGGACAAAGAGTCTTTTGTCCCCCGCCCAAAAAAAAACAAAAAACAAAACTGAGTTCTACATCCAGAGTTTAAAACAATGTTCTCTGGGCCAGAGATAAAGGAGAAACTTCTGGAATATATTTTAGATACATTCAGCAGAGTCGCTGCCTTTTTGTTCAGCTCACGAAATATGGTGCACAAATGGAGGAAAGTTATGTTGGTAAAGCCAACGTGGAGTGAGCTCCCACACTGCAAGCTAGCTGTCGGTGTGGGTTATCCACGGCGCACACGCTGACAGTGCCAGGCTGCCTCTGCCAATCAACGTGCAAGCACAAGTCAGGCACGAGAATACTCCTCCTGCAAGGTCTGGGTTTCTTTATTTGCTCCTGCATCTTTTCCTTTGTCTTTCTTTCTTGTTACATTTGCCATTTCTGACCACAGAACAGCTGTAACATCCTTATCTTAAAGACACACTGATAACGCCAGGTTAGCAGGTTAGAAATAAAATGAGCATTTAAATGTACCACAAAAAAAAAAAAAATTTATCATGGTAAAATCAAAGATAGTGTAATTATTTACACATATTCATATTTCACAAAAATGTTTTTCTCTCTTCCTCTTTCTCTTTCCTTCCTTCCTTCTTTCTCTCCCTCCCTCCTTCCTTTCTTCCTTTTTTTCTTTTTTTTTCCCTGTAGGAAGATCTACAGGAAGCTTTCTGTAGTGAAAAACCGCATACTCAGGTGGAATACTTTCCCTGGTGAATTAAAAATCTTCCCTTCACATATACATTTTGACACAGAATGAGCAAAAGAACAGTATGAAAATCTTATAGTTACAAGTAGAGGGGCCAATTTGAAACATTCACACAGAAAATAAACCACAGCAGATTAAAGGGCAGATGTTGAATACATGCCAGGATGAGAGAGAATATGGCACAGTGGCGACGAGTATCATCTCTAGGAGTCACGGAAACTTGGATTTGAAGCCCAGCTCCTCCAAGCTGTGCTCTTTAGCCAAGTTACTTAATGTCTCTGTGCCTCAGTTTACTCATAGGATTAAGTGAGTAACAGCAATTCAGTACAGTAGACAGCACATATTAGACACATAAGTGATAGTTACTAACATTATTAAGGAACATTTAAGGCCAAACTAGGCAAGACTTACTGGTGGGCCTGCTGGTCCTAGAGCCACTTCATTGGTTTCAGAACAGGAGCAGGAATGTGGAAGGTCTGGGCAGGACTCATCATCCCTCTGAAAAGAAAAATAAAAATAGCACAACCGTAAACAAGACAGTTCACACAAATGCCTTATTGACTCAAAGAAAATACTTTGATTTAAGACATTTTTAGATTTTTAAGTGTTTATTAGTATAGAAAGGCAGAGTGTATTCGCTCCTAATTACAAAATCTTTTTTTGTAACAGAAAATGGATGAGTGCCTAGTGAGTCATTGATGATCACTATTATTAAAAGATGTTGCTAAAATTAGTTTGGAAATCCAGATGAAGAAACAAAGTCAGAAGTGGGTGCAAAAAAATCCTTGTCACTATTTAATTCAGTTGGAGTAACAGTGCTCTGTGAACAAAAGGTCCTAGAAATGTTCTTTATACTACAATATTTTTTCTGTTTTGAAGGATCAAAGAAAACTTGTTGGAATGTTCTATCAAAACAACTGCATCTATACTAATACAAAACCAAAAACAAGAAAAAAGAGCCCCCAAAACAAAACAAAAAAAAAACAAAATAAAAGCAGTGTTTAAATACATCAGCAACTCCCTGTGACAATTTCAACAAATGGTCACATTCTTTGGTTGAAAATAAGAAAAACATCATGATGTTGATCTAAGGCTTTGGAATGGGAGAACATTTTTCTTCTTTCTGGGCGAATTTTATTGTCACGTGACATTACAAGCTAGATTATTAATGGAAGGCTGAATGTATCTGAATGAGTTACTGGAATGTAGAGAAAGACAGAACACCTGCTAACAGCTATTGAATAATTCGTAAATATCCCATGTGCAGCAGCAGCCAAAATGAACTCAGCGCTGGGATAAGAAATTACAGAACTTCAGAGAGTCCATCAATCCCTTTGGATAGAGAGAAAATGAACCTCATTATTTAAGACTTTAGGGGAAAGTAAAGTTAGAGCCAAATAGAACACAGATGATAGTAAACTCACTAAATTTAAAGTAATCCGAGTCTCTGAAATGTTCACAACACAAACCCCCCAAAATATTGAGCAAATGGCCTGTGTATACTGTATATACTTTTCTCTAAGTGTTGGACAATAGTCAAAGATTTCAGTTCACTTGATCTTAGCCAGAAGCCTGAGAAGCAATCAGAGATTTCAGTTCAAACTGCCTGCTAACACATCTGGCCTGACATCTGGCCAGACAGAAATACAAACTTAAGTATTCTAAAAGACCTCAAAATATGAATGACAATGGGCCACCTGTGACCAGAGACTTAGTGATGGTTTTGCTATTGCTGCTGGCTCTGTCTCTACTAGTGTTTTCCCACTATGGAATTTATGCCACTTCAGTGAGAGAAGTGAAAGGAAAAGCAATGAGAAGGGCTCCAGTCCTTCCTAGGGAAAGTGGTGATCACATCTTTGCTTGATACAACAAAGGATTCTGAGTGTTTCTCCTTCCAATTTCTAATCTACCTGCACTTAAGCATAACATCAAGGTGTCTCTTATTTCATTTATCACCAGAGTTTACTAGAAACTTATTTTGATAAGGAAAGAGTAAATTAATTCCTTCTCAAACACAGGCTGCCGTGAATTTAATGCCTGCAATAGATGTTGTGATCTGGTATAAAGTCTTGTAAAGTCAAATCTCGTAGACTCCATGGAGGCTTCCCCACACTCATTCTCCAGGTTTAATTATTAAGACATGGCTACTGTCCAACCATGACAGGGGTCACCCATGCCAGCCTACTTGCCCTAAGAATCCTAAGCTATGAATCTATTTTTCTGTTTTTATATATACAGGTGTACCCTCAGGAATCACATTTGGTATAAATGACAAAATCATGCTAAGCTTTCTAGGAGCATCATATACAGTTTATAGAGATTATGACTACAGCTCCAAAATTGTATATCAAACTGCCCTGGGGTGCTATATTGAACTCACGGGAATCCTGTGAATGTTTTAGAAATTTAAGAAAAACACAGCAATATCTGTCACCCATTGGACTTCATGTGAACAGCTAGCTCTAGTTAGTTCATAGTTTCAACATTAGATTTTGAAATACTATTTTTTTGATGATGTCCTATATTTGAAAATATAGTTGCTGTGATGAAAGGCAAGTACCATGGAAAAAAACAACGTGGAAGAAGAAGTGAGGATGGTGATGCCCAAACTGATTCCAAGACACGAGAAACGCTGCAGGTCCCAGTAGGCACACACATCCCATTAGTAAGGAATTGTGGGAATTTGAGAGTAAAATAAAAGCATCATTTTTTTTCTTTCAAATTTAGGTGTTTTTTTTTTTAATATGGCTACTGAGTTGTTAGGACGTGGATATTTAGTAAGATATTTTGACCTATTTATTTCATAAATGGAACTGTAAGGTATTTCTTTTGTCCTAGGGATGCCATAAAAAAACGTCGAGACAACAGGGACTTTGTGAACCACAAAATTTGGGAACATTCTGGACTGTGTGCACATGGCACCCCCTGAACTGTGCAATTCACACCATATGTGATCGTATGTTACACATATGAAATCTTGTCGATTTCAGCCGCTCCTCCTTCTTAACCTCTTCCTAATTTTCATTATCATCGCAATGAATTTTCTATGATATGAGTGTGAAAGAATAGCATCTCATTTTCAGAGAAAATTAAATACAATTTTTAAAAATTTCAATAGAGATGGAAGAATTCTTACCAGGCCTGGAAGTTCACAGCATTTGTCTTTATTGGCCCATGATGTGGAGCAAACAATATCAAACATCTGTAACTGGAACTACAATTTAAAAAGAAAATTGTCATTTAATAAAAGATACATAAATTATCCGTATAACTATAATGATTTCATGCTACATATTACATAATAGAACACCAACAAATTTATAACACATTACAGTAAGTAAATCAGAAGGTAACTCCAACAATAACAAATTAATTTTCTTCCTCAAGCATATAGTGATCTAAGATTTTGTCTATAATTACTCCTTCAACCATGCAAACTCCCTTCTTATCACAACCTCCCCTTCCCATCTCTACCAAAAGAGTAAGCTCAGCTCCTCTGTTAAGGCTTTCCTTGCAAAACTCACCTCAGGTACTCCCAAACGCCTCTGTAATCGCACAACACTCCCTGTGTCTCTTTCACAGCACACCTCCCACTCTACAATACAATTATTTGTATTATCTCCTCCTTAGACTCTTCAGAAGACAGGGAAATGCTCATCTGTGTGTCACCTATCATAATATGTGGCGTATAACAAGCATTGAGGAAGGCTTATTGAATTAATTCTTATTTCATTCCTTTATGCATACACTCAGCAAATTTTTCTTCCATGCATAACATAAGCCACATACTATGTGCACTTTTAGGATACAAAAATTTCAAAAATCATAGTCTTGCCCCAGAAAAACTTACACGGAGTAAGGAGACAGGCACATAAATATGGACACAACATGGTAAGTGTTACTACAGATTTACATTTGGTATTGTGAGAATGTGAGCTAAATGTATTTCTGTTTAAGCCATTGATCATGTCATAAATATTTAGACAATCTTGCTCCTTACGCAGTCTTGTTCCATTCACGGATGTTGGTGATAACTCAATGTACATGTT